TTTTTTAATGTTTATTTATTTTTGAGAGAGAGACAGAATGTGAGCAGGTGAGGGGCAGAGAGAGAGGGAGACACAGAATCTGAAGCAGGCTCCAGGCTCTCAGCTGTCAACACCGAGCCCGACGCAGGGCTCGAACCCACAAACCGCGAGATCACAACCTGAACCGAAGCTAACCGCCTAACTGAGCCACCCAGGCGCCCCTGGGAACTTGACTTTAGACCTATGCACAAAGAGAGAACAGTCCCGGTTTCTAGAGCATCTCTTGTGAGAGCATGGTGTCATGAGACAGAGATAATTGACCTGTTGGAGGTTTTATTCTGGTATTCCCTTTGCTGCCCGACATTTCCGAGAATACAGTCATGCTGCATCATTAAAAAAATAAATATACCACAACCATTCACTCATACTAATATGCCACTTTTGAAGTTCAGTAGTTTTCCATTAGAATGATGACATTTTCATTTTCAAACCAAGTTCAACTTCTTTTGATTCCATAAGACCTAGTATATTCTGATTTTGTATAAACACCGTGACTATTATGTTGGGAAATATCATCAGAATGCTAATACTAATGAGCCCATAGAGGAACTTACTGTGAAGAATTGTTTCCAAATCTTGGAACAGGTCTTGTGTCCAGTGAACTAACCAAAAACTCTTAGGTGATTTTATTAGTAATAAAAAGAAGTAAAAAGTAGTAAAAGAAATGTCATTTAAAAGTTTCGTGATTATGGGCACTTCAAAAACAATAGGCACTTTGAGAACTCATTTTGTGTTCTGACTGATTGAGTTTCAACTGAATTAAGATTCCAAAGGCACATTTGAAACCTGAAATAAAGCTGATTTACTTGTCGATAATCTGTCCTGAAGCCTTCTGAGCTAGTTCAGGAGACAGGCTTTAGCACCTTAACTTTCTGCCACTTAATAGCAAAGATTACAGCCCAGGTGTGAAACCATCAATAAAATACAGACAATTGTCCTACAGATGGATTCTGGGGGGAAAAAAACAACATCCTGGAATTTGCTCTAGTGCTTTTGCTGTAAGAAATGTCATATAGGGGCACCTGGGTGGCTCTGTTGGTTAAGCGGCTGACTCTTGATCTGGCCCAGGTCATGGTCCACGTTGGTGAGTTCAATCAAGCCCAGCATCAGGCTCTGCACTGACAGTGCAAGAGCCTACTTGGGATTCTCTCTCTCCCTCCCCCTCTCTCCACCCCTCCCCCACCACTCACACTGTCTTGGCCTCTCTCAAAATGAACATTAAAACAAAACAAACGTTATACTATTATATGCGACTGAAATGTACACATATTCTAAAGGAAAATAGACACTGGTGGCATATGAGGCTCCTTGAGGGCTTTTTCCCAAATGCCTTAGGCAATATCAGTTCCTGGGGGAGAACGTAAAAAAACAAAAACAAAAACAAAAACCATTAATTATCTGGTGACTTCATGAGTGGTCAAACAATTTCCTTCAGTTTGAAGTCGAGCATAAACTACCTGTGCTGTTTTGTGCTGGCAACTGCTGCTAGACATATCCAGAGGCCGAATTCTCCAGAACCAAATCAGGGATTCTCCTGTGAGCATGATTTCCCAGCAAATAATAACTGGAAGCTATCTGCTAAAGACCAAGAACACTCTTTGTTTTTCTCGAGAACGGACTGCTGCATTGGAATTAGCACAGTGTGAAGGTGAGGGAACCTGCCCTCTGGCTGGCAACAACAGGCGGGTGTCATTTTCGTGGAGACCCTCAAATTAGAAGCCAAGGCAAGTTGTGCAGGCGCGCGCACACTGTTGCTCTGAGACCGTTGTCTTCATCTCCTGCCTCCAGCACAACCAAGGAGACGTTCAGGGCTGTCCCCCAGGGAAGTGAGGTCCCAAGGGATGCTTCGGAGGATTTTTTTTTTCCTCCTGCATCTGTGGCTGCCCAGAGGTATTTATCAGCGTGTACAGTGTGTACAAAGACCCTGTAGTGTAAAGTGAGATGCTCCCCAAAGCGGTTTAGGAGGCTCAGCCTGCTGCTGTGTGTGCGTGTGTGTGCGTGTGCGTGCGTGTGTGCGTGTGTGTGTGTGTGTGTGTGTCTGCAGAACGCGCAAGCAAGAGCGCTGAAATGCAGCTCTCCTCTCTGCCTGCAAAGAGTCGCTCCACTTTCCCCTCTGCCCAGCGCACTCGGGGAGCGCCAGGGGGAGTCCTCGCCGGCCAGGGCTTCCCGCGCCCCGGGAGCGCCGAGGGCTCGCCTGGCGGAGCTTAGCGCAGCTCGCTCGGCGCTGCCAGCCAGCGGAGCGGGCGGGGGTGGACACTGGGCTTCTGTGTGCCAGCCGCAGCCGTTGGCTGGCGGGCGCCCAATCCCGGGGCATGCCGCCGGAGGCTGGCCGGGACGCACGGTGAGAGACGAGTTTGGTGGAAGGCTTGACCCCCAGGCTGCCCGCAGAAGCCGGCGTCGGGAACCTAGGCGGTCGGGCCGCCGCGGTGGGGGCTTGCTGCGCTGCAGCGGCGGGGAGCCGGGCAGCCCCGGGGTCCCAGGGAGGAGGCGGCATGGCTTCGGTGTTCATGTGTGGAGTGGAGGACCTGCTGTTCAGCGGCAGCCGTTTCGTGTGGAACTTGACCGTGTCCACGCTGCGAAGATGGTACACGGAGAGGCTGCGGGCTTGCCACCAGGTGCTGCGGACGTGGTGCGGGCTGCGGGACGTGTACCAGGTGAGCCAGGGCGCGCGGCGCCCCAGGGCCCTTGCAGGATGCCAGGCGCTCTTGGGAAGCCGGTTCCACCTGTATGATTTTATTCTCTCTCTCTCTCTCTCTGTCTCCACCTCTCTCTTTCTTTAAAACTCCTAGCGGGCTGCTTGGCTCCTGGGTCAATTTTCAGCAGCTGTGGATAACTGTTGCCTGACAAAGCTCGTGGATTGTCCCCCGTTGGGCTCGGGGGCACTTGCGAGTTCCTACCAGCATTTGCAGACGTCTGTTACAGAGTGATGGTGTACTGCCTGGCACTTAGCTAAGAAAGCTGTGGCTTTGCAGCAGAAGGTCTGCCCGAAGCGACTTTGACATTCAGACGATCCCTTCTTTTTCTTGTATTGGGGGTGGGGTGGGGGTGAGCATCTCAGGATCAGCCATGTCACACCAATTTACCATCAGAGGGGCCTTGGTGGGTTTTCATTCTTTGTATTTCAGTTTTCCATCAGGCAGCCCCACATTGCAAGGCAGAGCCAGGAAAAGCTGATTCTGTGTCTACTGGCTTTTGGAGGAAGGACAGCAAATTGTGAATACTTTGCAGGAGGAGGATGGCTAGGGGAGGGAGGGGTGGCCTGGCTGATCGTTGTCAGAATGCTTACATTTGGATTTAGTCCCCTCACACAACACAGCCTCTTTATTTCTCTGCTAGGTCCCATCCTGCAGACAAAAAATGCAGCAACTTTATTCAACTGGGAGACCGTTCATCTTCTCTGGGGACTAAAGCTTCCCTGGATTTTTTTTTTTTTTGGACAGTCATTTGTGGGTTTAAATAAAGTCCTCTGCTTGGGTTGTTAATATCTTTGAGGTTAAAAAAAAAAAAAAACTACATTGCATTTAGGAAGATTAAGCCTGGTGTTTGCTATAGGAATATATCATCATGTTTTCTTTCCTGAGATGTGGAAAGAGCTTTGTTGCAGTTCCTGGCTCCCCCTACTCTCACCCCCTTCCCACTATGGCTATAATTGTATCTCATTGTATCTCATTGTATTGTATCTCATTGTATCTCATTGTATCTCATTGTATTGAGTCCTATATGGGATCGGAGCCTCTGGTTTTGACAGGCTGTAGTCTTTCATCAATCAAGCAAAATTAAAAGATCGGCTCTGGGGGTTAAACTGTGGGCGTGTAAAGAATCAGCATCCCCTCGTCATCCTTGATGTCCGTATCAGCCTTGTTAAAATGTGAGGAACATTTGCTTCTTGCTTTCACGACTCCTACTTTGGGTAATATGTCTCTGATGTTTTGCAGTTTGTGAGAATCCCACAGCCAGGCTGAGAAGCGGGGCAGCATGTGGGGGTTTGAGAGTAGTATGGAGCTGTGGTATAGATCCCATCTGGCTACAGTCCATGGATCACCTGGCATTTCGGAGCCTGAAGTGTCTGCCTTTGGGGAAATCATTGTTGCGTTGGTCTGTAGGAGAAGTGACCCCGATAGAGTTTTGTTTTTGCTTTTTAAGGTTGGAGAAACTTTTAAAAGGAGAACACAAGTATTGGAACCAACCAGACAGCCTTTATGTGTCTCTCCCCAAGTTCAGGGGAGCTATAGTTTATCTCTTTGCGGTCAGTGACCAGATAAAAAATGGAGGTTCCAGGATCTGGAGACCCCATGGACTCTTTATAAGTTTTATCAATAATTATTTTTAAGAAGCACAGCAACTTGAAGGATTATCCTACTAAAGTGAAGATTTTCTCTTCTTTAAATGGATGGGGACTGAGCCAATACCCTCTCATGATAATAAAAAAGGACATCTAAAATAATGATAAGTGGAAAATGATCTCTAAGTTTAGAGTTTCCTGTACATGAGAAAAGAATTTTTAGAATATTTTAAAACTTGCAAGGACCATAGATTTCTTAATTGCACAATATAAACTAATTGCTAGCAAAGAAACACCATTTTTGGGACGCCTGGGTGGCTCAGTCAGTTAAGTGTCTGACTCTTGGTTTCGGCTCAGGTCATGATCTCATAGTTTGTGAGTTCGAGCCCTGTGTCAGGCTCTGTGCTGATGGTGTGGAACCTGCTTGGGATTCTCTCTCTCTCTTTCTCTCTGTCTCTCTCTCTCTCAATAAATAAATAAAATTTTTAAAAACTTAAGAAAAAGAAACACTATTTTCATTAATGCCTTTTAAATAATGATCAAGAAAATAGTCATTTAAATTATATAGAACGTGGGGCGCCTGGGTGGCTCAGTCAGTTAAGCGTCCGACTTCGGCTCAGGTCATGATCTCGCGGTTCGTGAGTTCAAGCCCCGCGTCGGGCTCTGTGCTGATGGCTCAGAGCCTGGAGCCTGTTTTGGATTCTGTGTCTCCCTCTCTCTCTGACCCTCCCCCGTTCATGCTCTGTCTCTCTCTCTCTCTCAAAAATAAATAAACGTTAAAAAAAATTTTTTTTAAATAAATAAATTATATAGACCTGAAAGGCAGTATAATAAAGTAGTTAATACCTTAGGCTCCAAGTTCGAGAGACATAGGAATAAATCCGACCTCTGCCTACACTTGATCATGAGTAAGTTACTTACCCTTAGTATGCTTCAGTTTAATCATGCATAAAATGGGAAATATGATAGTGCTAATCACAGAGTTTGATAAAAGAATTAATTGACACAAGATATTTAGCCCAGTGCCTAGAGTTTAGGAGACATTCAACAAATGTTATCTGCTCTGTCATTTTAGAAACCCAACTCATACTAACCTACAAATTAAAAAGAAGGCACTTTTGACACAACTGAGAAGTCTAGCAGTTGGATGAACTTCAGGTATGGTTTGATCAGAGCACTATACTTGTTGCCCATGATTCTTCCAGCCTTGTTCGTGTGTTGGCTTTTTCTTCGGTTGGTTTCTTCCATCATGATAGCAGATAGCTGCAGCAGTTCCAGGGCTTAGATCCAGATATCAACCCATTCAGGAAGAAAGAAAACTTCTCATATCCCCCAGCTATCAAAAAAAAAATAATTCCAGTTTTCACTCTGATGGGTTAACTTAGGGACGGTGCCCACCCCCAATGCCATGCACTGAATGGCACAGGGAATGGGATTATAATTCAGGCATTCTCAATGGGAGTGACATGACCCCCAAGAGGCAAACATTGTTTCTTAAAGGTAGGAGGGTGGCACAAGAATCTTACTCTTTTTTTGTGTATAGAGCACGGATGTACATAGAATACCTAAACAGATATACAGGATTCTACTGGCATTAGAATTTGCAGGGGGAGGAGGTGACTAGCAAACAAAAAAGTATCTAAAAGGCTCCTTAAAAAGATGATCGTGAGGGGCGCCTGGGTGGCGCAGTCGGTTAAGCGTCCGACTTCAGCCAGGTCACGATCTCGCGGTCTGGGAGTTCGAGCCCCGCGTCAGGCTCTGGGCTGATGGCTCAGAGCCTGGAGCCTGTTTCCGATTCTGTGTCTCCCTCTCTCTCTGCCCCTCCCCCATTCATGCTCTGTCTCTCTCTGTCCCAAAAATAAATAAACGTTGAAAAAAAAAATTAAAAAAAAAAAAAAAAAAGATGATCGTGAATAAAACTGTTGAGAAACACTAATTACACTGATTGGCTTAGACCAGTGGGAGAGCAGACCCATTTGTGAAGCTGGGAGTGAAGTTGGTCCCAGGCAGACCACACAGCTGCCAAACAGTGGGGGAGGGTCAATGCTCAGTTGAGCTGCAATCAGCAATGCCCCCTACACTTGAATTATTAGAACCTCAAATCTAGAGCTCTCTAATATAATAAAGATTAATGGCAAATATATTTCTAAGTATTTCGCCGCTGTAATTTGAGTTAAAGGGGTGGGGGCTCATCATTAGAATACCTTATTGCTGGGGCGCCTGGGTGGCTCAGTCGGTTGAGTGTACGACTTCAGCTCAGGTCACGATCTCGCGGTCCGCGAGTTCGAGCCCCGCATCGGGCTATGGGCTGATGGCTCAGAGCCTGGAGCCTGCTTCCGATTCTGTGTCTCCCTCTCTCTCTGCCCCTCCCCCATTCATGCTGTGTCTCTCTCTGTCTCAAAAATAAATAAACGTTAAAAAAAAATTTTTAAAAAGAATACCTTATTGCTATCCCATAATTACAAATTCTAAAGCATGAAGGGGAGTGTTCAGTGGTACTGTCCAGTTTAGTGACAAATGGACTGGAAACACCACAGGGTTACATATTTCACTGAACTCAGTTTTTTATCATCTTGACGATAGAAAGGTGTCATCTTTCTTGCTTCTAGTCTGAATAGTCTGGTTTGTAAGGAAATCTGGGCTCAATCACGCCAGAGAGAAATAAGGGTGGTGCGGGAGATATCCATTACATGAAATACCTGACGGTTCCCTGGGGGTGTTTTGTTTATTTATATACTATACGTGAAATAAGATCTCCCACCTATTCATAAAGGAATCTGGCAACAACGTTATTGCCTGGCTGGCACAGCCGTGAAGGCATCATTTCTTTGGAATTGAACACTTCCTCTACATCTAGATATTGGAGAGGCAGGAGACTTAATTTGCCAAAAGCTATGAATAATTAAGGCGCTAGCTATAAGGCATTTCTGTAGTAACGCGACTAAATAAAAAGCAGGCTGAAGCGGCACTGAGGCTGCCTTTTAACAAAGACTTACTTTATGCGTGAAGCTTTGAATTTGGTTAAAGTAGCAGACTGAAACATTCACCTTCAATTTGGGGCTAAACCTTAAAAGCTGATTCATCAGCCGTATATCTATCCTGCTGATATCTTGCCTGGATGGGTTCTGTTATAGCAATTAATTAGGGTTAACAAACAACTGAAGTAGAAAATGGTGGGAGAATGTGGTTGAAAAAAAGATCAACACCCTTTGCTTTTTATTAAGCATGACATGTTCTAACAAAGGCCTCAGCTTGTTTCTTGGGATTAAGCTGTCCCCTCATCCCCAACACCTCAAAGCTAGAATTTCTTGCAAACTCTGAATGGAGTCATTGCCTTCCAGCAGGAGGTAACTTAGACAGAATTTGAGATAT